TCTTCTGTTGAAGCCATTCTGTTGTTGATTTACTTCTGTGCTTTGGGTCGTTGTCCTGTTGCATCACCCATCTTCTGTTGAGCTTCAATTGGTGGACAGATGGCCTTAAGTTCTCCAGTAAAATGTCTTGATAAACTTGAGAATTCATTTTTCCGTCGATGATGGCAATCTGTCTGAGGCAGCAAAGCACCCCAAACCATGATGCTCCCTCCACCATACTTCACAGTTGGGATGAGGTTTTGATGTTGGTGTGCTGTGCCTTTTTTTCTCCACACATAGCGTTGTGTGTTCCTTCCAAAAAACTGAACTTTGGTTTCATCTGTCCACAGAATATTTTGCCAGTAGTGCTGTGGAACATCTTTTGCAAACTTCAAACGTGCAGCAATGTTTTTCTGGACAGCAGTGGCTTCCTCCATTTTATGACCAACTTATGCAGAAATCCAGGTAATTCCAAAGGGTTCACATACTTTTTCTTGCAACTGTATAAGCAGCATAAGCCAACTTTTCAATACAGTTTATTCTAACTCTACATGCTTTGACGATTTCATTCTTTATATAGCCTGCCTACCAGTTGTTTTTAAGCTCAGTTAACACAGACATTAGACCAGTATTTATCACATTTGTTTGTGACACAAAACCCTGGTGTCCACCGTCAAAACATTCCCAACAGCTTGTTGCGAATTGTGTTTTATCCAAGTGAATAATACAGGTTATAGCTCCTTACTATTGTCACTGTGTGAGGTACAGAACAGTGCTCCATCCGGTGAGACAGCGATGTGTGTGATGGCAGAACCCAAGCGGGGCAGGAAATCCCGCTGACTCTCTTGGTTGTACCGCCACTGGACGAGCACCGACTCCAAGCCTCCACTCAGTAGGTTAGTGCCTAAGAAAGCAAAGACCAAATGGATACAGAGGCAGGACCATCCGGAACTAATTAAGTCATTCAAGCACAAAATGATTTTCAAAACCGGACAAAAACTCTAGTTGCCTGTCCAAGATCTTAAAATAGCTGTATTGAAAAGAATAATCCTGTCTGAAGTAGATGAAGAAAGAAAGGATAAAACAGGTGATGTGTGTGTGTACCTTCTGGTGTGAAGCACAGTGAGCTGACAGCACTGTGGTGCCAGTGCAGGGTGGAGTACGTGTACTCCTTCTTGTGGTTGAAGTTCCTCCTGAAAGGACAAAAGGGTAATGTAAGAAAAGCATGCATCTTCTAGATTCATACACGTCATAAACATCACTACAGAGAACTAATGTGCCTAATCTGTTAAGAATATAAATTTGAAATCAACAAAGCACTGGATGTGAGGAATATGCTCCAAGGCTATGTTGCTGCTGCACTGACCACAAGCGAATCTTGCCGTCCTCATGCCCGGTGGCAATGCAGTCCTCTTTCTGGTGACAGGCGACGCACATGAATGTGTTCTTGCCTCCCTTCTTGTTGTCTTCTTTGAGGGAAAACCTATTAACAGGCCGCACAAGGACAGACATGCAGTATTATTGATCATCCTTGTGGCTTAGTTGGCACATTTGAACATGAAGTGTTTCATGATCTTTACTCTTGAGTTCTACATAACTTTGTGTCTGGAACAAAATAAATGGTGTTTTTGGCCTTTGCAATCCGTTTTACTTTGAAACTCAATGTGTCAATTGATGGAAAATAATGAATTTGCATATTCAAAAAATACTCCACACCTGTTAACCTGTTCAGCCCTGAGCCTGTTTTTCAGGTCTCAGGCTCAAAAATGACATTCCCAGCAAATGGCAATAACTTCACTTCTAAAAGGGGTAAATGAATCATCTTTTTTCTTAAAGCAATGATAAACCTTTGAGTTGGATGTAGAAGAATCACAATCAATATAGATTTTTTAAATTTTAAAGTAAATTCAGATTGAACATAGTAAGAAAACCTAAATTATAGTGTCCGTTAAAAAAAAACAAAAAAAACCATTACTTATAGTGAAAACCACCCTTGGATGATGGGTTAGTAGGGTTGTCCCGAATACCATTTTTCGGGCTCCGGATATTTGGTAGCAATCAGCAGCGGATATTCGGCCTGCCCGCCCGCCCACGGGGTGCGTAGTAATCGGCAGCGAACTGCCGGTGGGGGCTATGGGGCTTAACAGGTTAACTGAAGCAGTGTGGCTCACCTGTATGACTTCTGCTTCTTGAAGAAGAAGACCTCCAGATGCAAACCTTTAGCTGAAGCAATAAATTCCCCCTGTGACGGATAACATTTTGTTTAAAAGACATACATGGTGGAAGAAACCAAGCAACAACAGGGAACTTTACTCGAGTGGTAATCATGCTAAAGCTGTATATCTTATTGTTTAAAAGGGTAACAATTGCGATTAATATAAATATATAGATCTCATTGCCAAAAAAATTGAAATCTCCCACAAAAATGTATTCTGCCACAGCAGAAAAGTCAGATAAAGTTTTGTCTAATATCCCTCTGATACGTTGGCAAGTATGGGACATCACTTTTGGGAATGTAACATTTCCAGATGGTGTGCAGATCACAGTAGTGGTGCTGTATTTACCCCTTTGCCAAAGCCGATGGCTGCTGGGTTGGAGCTGACGTCACTGAGAACAGCAGAAAGCTCTAGGGCCTCCACCAGCTGATCTCCGCTCTGAGGAAGATGCACTGCAACCAGCTGGAACACCTCTGCAAACACAGTGTTGAACACATCCTCACCCAGTGAACTCTCACCCCAAATTCTACTACACACATGTTAGGTCCACATGATTTAACATTTATGTGCCTCCTAGTGTAAAAAAAGTGTGCCTGAGTAAATAAACACTAGATAAAATGAAAATGATGCACATCCTGATTTGACCTGCTCACACTGAAATTAATGGGTTGAAAAAAACACTTGGGAGTCAACAATTTCCATCTAGATCAGTGCTTATCAAAATGTGGTCCGTGGACCACTGGTGGTCCGTGAGGGCCCCCTAGTGGTCCCTGAGTATATTGGTAAAATTTCACATTTGAAATAAATACATTTAAGTTTTCCGCACTCTCGCGGGAATATCTCCGAAATGGAGCGAGCTTGAGTTTCAATTTCATGATATAGCCCAGCGCAACACCATCACACATGTTGCCACTTGTTTGTACCATTTTCAGGCGATTTGTAATCTGTTCTAGAAAAACGATGTGATTTTGGATATTTGTGGAGTTTGGTGGTCCGCGAGTGTTTTTTTTATTGGTTAAGTGGTCCTTGGTATGAAAAAGTTTGAGAAACACTGATCTAGATGATCTAACTTTGCTATTTGGAAAACTTCTACTACACGCACATAAGTATTCCACGGAGAAAAGTTTTAACACATCTCAGTATGAAATATTCGTGTGAGATGTATGTAATACATATTTATTTATGCCACAATAAGAAAGAAAACACCTCTTCCCAACTGAATAATAGGGTGCTGTAAGTAGTGGTGTGAACCTTTTTGGTTACATTTTCTATTAGGGCTGCTCGCTTATGGCAAAAATCATAACTTTGAAAAACATCCGTTTATTGAACTTTAAAAAGATAATAATAATAATTTGAACAGTATGTTTTTAACAGTTGATTACTCTATAATTCCACTGAAAAACTAATACAAAATTTAAAAAAAGTATACATTTATATCTAGATTTAAATAAATAATATCAAAATAATAAATACCAATAAAGATCAACAAATATCTTGGAACGCACTTACACAATCTACTAAACATATATAAATATGATAACTAATGCCACTCACAAACTGTAATGTTTAATTATACTGCTAACCGCAGTACTCTTATTTCAATAACCCCTAAGTAACGAGCTAAGAGGCTCCGTCTTGACGAGTTAGTCAAATTTGACTGTACGCATGGAGGACCGGGGAATAAAGACACGGCAACGTATTATATGGATTTATTAAACAGACTGCAAGTCACAACCTTTATATATACAGTCTATGGTCACAACTGGGTCACAACACAACCTGGCCGAGAGGGATTTTAGGGAGGGGCGCGGGCAGGATGTACAGTGGGGCAAAAAAGTATTTAGTCAGCCACCAATTGTGCAAGTTCTCCCACTTAAAAAGATGAGAGGCCTGTAATTTTCATCCTAGGTATACCTCAACTATGAGAGACAAAATGAGAAGAAAAAAAATCCAGAAAATCACATTCTCTGATTTTTAAAGAATTTATTTTATTTTATGGTGGAAAATAAGTATTTGGTCACCTACAAACAAACAAGATTTCACAGACCTGTAACTTCTTCTTTAAGAGCCTCCTCTGTCCTCCACTTGTTAACTGTATTAATGGCACCTGTTTGAACTCGTTATCAGTATAAAAGACACCTGTCCATAACCT